TTTTGGTTTTTCGAGACAGGGTTTCTCTGTGTAGCTTTGCGCCTTTCCTGGAACTCACTTGGTAGCCCAGGCTGGTTCAGATAGATCTTTACCAATGTATAATTCTGTGAATTCATTTATCATGCCAAAAAAATAACATTTGTGAATGACACTGATTTCCTCAGACAGGTATTGAAATACTCTAATGCTCATGGTAAGGGATACAAGCTTTTCCAAATTTTTGTTTGTTCTTTTGTAAATTTTTGTTTGTTCTTTTGTTCTTGAGACAGATTCTCACTCTGTAGCTCAGGCTAGCCACAAACTCATGCTGATCCTCCTGCCTCAGCTTCCTGAAGTACTGGGATTAGAGGTGTGAGCCATCATGCCTAACTTTCAAATTTGAATTTTTGCACAAAAACTTGAATTTTTAATCACTGGCCACAAATACTTGGCTATTTTTCTTGAAGTAATGGGCTTGTTTTGTTTATATATTTACTTTTTGAGACAGTGTCTGCTAATACTCATGTCTGGATAACAAAGACATTCTTTCAAGGTAAAATTGGTATTACATGACAAAAAACAAAACCAAAAACCTTCCCCTTTGACATGCTTATCCAGGAAACACTGGTTGTCTTAATGCTTCTTTGACCAAGCAGAGATAGTTGGCTGGTAAGGGAGCAGAGACAGTGGTTTCAGTGGTACAACCCCAGCTTCCTCAGCTCCGCTGATCCTCTGTCTGGGGATGTCCATACTAGAGCATGGGTGCCCTGTGAGCAGGTCCACTGTTCAAAGATTCTGCTTTCACATGAAGGGTGAAACAATCATCTCAGCAGAACCAGTAGGACTTTTCCTTCTTCGTGTTTTGCTAAAGACTAAACCTATACCCCAGAGGCTCTGAAATTTAATCTAAGGTGAGTGAGGACAATTAGTTGCTGCCCAGGGATTCTGGGTTTAAGAATTAATTCCATGAGCCTTTATGACGAAGAAAATACTGTGTGTTTTCATTCACTTGATGACAGTGTTTTTGTTCAAGGATAACAATAAAAGCTTTGAGAACAGCAAGTTGAAACCCTAGGTTCACTGATTCAAGGCATAAGGTGCCATGTTTGCCAGAATTGGAAGACTAATAGGAGATTACAGTGAGAAGGAAACCCGAGCGAGCCAAGAGCTTCTCTCTGTGGTAGCATTAATTAGAAGGACCTGTAGCATTTCTCTGTCTTGGGAGTCTTACCACCCTTAGCAATTAAAGCAGAGTTGTGGGGCCCGCAAGAGGGCTCATCAGAAAAGTTTTGTACTGCCAAGGTTAATAACCGTAGTCAGATTCCTGGACCCACATAGTAGAAAAAGAGTTTGCTCCTGAAAGTTGTTCTCCAACCTTCAGCCATGTACCATTGTGTGCATGTACATGCACATGCATGCATACAAGCACACACGCAGTGAATGTAATTTAAATTTTAAAGTTGAAGAGATGGCTTAGTGGTTAAGAATATGTACTGTTCTTGCAGAGGACCCGAGTTTGATTCCTAGCACCCATGTTGGGGTGACTCACAACTGCCTATAATTTATCTCCAATACCTCTGGCTTCTAAAAGCACTTGTAAACACATACACATAATTAAAAATAATAAAAATAAATATTTAAAACAATAAATAAAAATTAAAGCAGAAATGAAAATATCAGACAGTCAGGTGTGGTAGCACTCAGGAGGCTGAGGCAAGAAGATTGTGAATTCAATGGCAGCCTAGACTATATAATGAGACACACACCCCCTTTCTTCACCCCTTGGGGTTTTCTAGACAGGGTTTCTCTGTGTAACTCTGGCTGTCTTAGAGCTTGCTCTGTAGACCAGGCTGGCCTTGAACTCAGAGATGTCTACCTTGGCCTCACAAGTGCTGGGATTAAAGGTATGTGCCATAGGGCTGGAGAGATGGCTCAGCAGTTAAGAGCACTGGCTGCTCTTCCAGAGGACCTGAGTTCAATTTGCAGTACCCACATGGCCATTTACAACTGCCTGTAACTGCCTCCAGAGGATCCAACACCTTCATACAGACATGCATGCAGGCAAAATACCAATGCATATAAAATAAAAATAAATAAATCATTAAAAGAAGGTGCACCACCACACCCGGCTTAGACTTTTTTTTTCTGCTCCTCTTTTTTTTTTTTTTTTTTTTTTTTTTTTTTTTTTTTTTTTTTTTTTTTAAGATTTATATATTATGTATAGTGTTTTGCCTGTATATATGCCTGCAGGCCAAGAGAGGGCACCAGATCTCATTATGGATGGTTGTGAGCCATCCTGTGGATGCTGGGAATTGAACTTAGAACTTTTTGGAAGAGCGGCCAGTGCTCTTCACTGCTGAGCCATCTCTCCA